AAATTTCGTCAAAAAAATCGATTATTTCAGTACCATGTACACATATTGTACAAAAAAACGAAAAAACTTCGACTGTCATTTGTTTTGTTAATGTGATTAGTGAATATTTTTTATTTATTTGTTACGTTTTGTACAAAATGGTGCACTACACAGCAGAAGAGTACACAAATATGATTCAGTGTCATGCGTAAGCGGGTGGAAATTCACATGTTGCAGCAGAGCTTTATCGTCAACGCTATCCTGATCGACAAAGGTTTCCTGAACACCGCGTAATTACTAGGTTAATGATTAGGGTAAATCAACCAGGAGGGGAACTAGTGCCCAATAATAGAAATAGACCAAGAGCTTATTGAAGAGCAAGAGCACCATGGGTTGAACAGCGAATACTCGATATGTGCAAAATAATCCACGCACTGGATTGCGGCCAGTTGCAAGACATTTGCGATTGTCATACTCCACGGTCCAGACAACGGTTTCAGAAGCGAGGTATATATAGAAATTTGAAAATCTGCTTCACTTATTTTGTATATCTATCACATTATTTTAATCCAATATTTAATTTATTCAAGTTTTATTTCATTTATCAAAATTCAATAAATCTTAATTGTTATTTGCCAAAACATTATTTATTTTGAGATTTTAATCAACTGTAAGATTAATGTATGTAAATTTTAATTTGCATATTGCAAATTTTAATTTTTTTAATTTTAATTTACACTTCAATTAACTCTAATTTTAATTAACCTTAAATACATTTTATCCAAATTTTAATAATTATTAATTTGAAAGAATCAAAATTTTTGTTTCAGTTTAAAATTAATTCATAGAAATTTTAAAAGACCTTTTTTAAAAAAGAATCAAATTTTCAAAAATTGATTTTCTGGACTTGGATTATACTTTTTCGACTTTTTCTGATTTTTTCGACTTATTTAAATAAGATGTGAATTTTAAATTTTTTTTCAAAAATATTTTAAACAAAATACGTCTTTTTAGGGTTCCGTACCCGAAGGGGGAACCCTATTAATGAGACTAGTGAAACAAGGCATGTACCCCCCCCCTAGCGGTCACACGAATTTATCTAGAGGGCTGAAATTTGGTATACATATGTATTTTGGCGTGTAGATTACAGGAAAAATATAGCGAATCTCATAGGAATTGATTATCATAGCGTTGTCAAGGAAAAACCATGAATTTTTACGAAAAATCCCTGAAAATGACTATGTACCCCCCCTCTGGTTGCCACATCTTTTTACATAGAGAGCTCAAATTTGGTACACTTATGTATTTTTACGTGAAAATTACAGGAAAAATATAGCGAACATGATTCGGATCAATTTACATAGCGTTGTCAAGGAAAAATCAAAAATTTTGAAAAAAAGCGTTTAATACACCTAGCGCACACACTATTTGACCAAGACAGTTCATATCTGGTATACTTATGTATTTTTGCGTGTAGATTACAGGAAAAATATAGCGAGCACGATTGGAGTTGATGATCATATTGTTTTTAAGGAAAACTCATATTTTTAGAAAAAATCATGGATTTTTCGAATAAAAAAAGAAGAAAATTTTATCCTAAGAGATCCAAATTTATACTTTTTTACGTATTTTTACGTGTAGATTCGGGTTGATTATCATAGCGTTTTCAAGGAAAAACTGATAATTTTCGTTTAAAATCATGAATTTTCCTCAAAAACCGAAGAAAATTTTATCTAAAGAGTTTCAAATATACACTGCGACCCGAGTTTAGCAAAATCTCGGAAACGGCAACAATAGGATGGTAATTAAGCGGTAAGCGTAAGATGCTCCGACTCGAGCAGGAGCGTAGAAGTAAGGCAACGCGGTTCCTTCTAGTTGAAAATGAGTACCAAGCGGAGACGTTCGTCTGGGAGGTACAAGGTTCTTTAATCTTTAATTTTAAATAAAAAATTTGTTAAATTATAAAAGCTTATTTATATACATGTATACAAATTTTATTTTTGTTTTCACTCCCAGCAAATTTATAAATTTACTTTATGAAAATCTTAATTTTAATATTTGCTCTCAATGTTATATTTGATGAAATTTATATTATTTAATTTCAAATAAATTTAAAATTTATAAGTCAAATGGTGAGTTTTTCTCCTTTCTTGTCTGATGTCAGTACAATTATTTGAATTTTTATTAAAAGTAATTTTAAGTATTACTTATTACTGTTTATAATTATAATAAAATCTAAAAATTAAAATATAATTATAATAATTATTGCAATAAAAATATTATGTATTATAAGATGAAGAATTTTCAAAAAAAGAGTTTAAGGATTTCGTATTTCAAGTAGTTCGTACGGCCCTGATTGCTGACGCCGATTTCGGGAAATCTCATTACTGAGTTTAGCGAACGACCCACCAAACCCGCCGCTAAACTCAGGTCGCAGTGTATACACTTTTACGTAATTTTGCGTGTAGATTACAAAAAAATATAGCGAGAACGATTGAAGTTGATTATTATAGCGTTTTCAAGGAAAAACTGATAATTTTCGATAAAAATCATGATTTTTCACCAAAAAAATTTTTTAATTGAGTTTTTTCAAAACATACAATTTTTTTAAAAAGTGGACTTTTTCCTTAAGTTTTACAATTTTTGATCTAGAAAGATAAAATTTTCTTCCTTTTTTTGGGGCAAATTCTTGATTTTTTTTCAACTCCAATTGTGCTTGCTATATTTTTTTGTAGTGTTTTGCCATTTTCTATTTTTTACCATTTACTATTTTTATTCTCTTTTGACATTTTTTATTTTTTGATATTTTTATTATTTTTTAGTTTTATTAATTTATTTTCAAATCTATGCGCTCACATTATTTTCAAATTTATGCGTAGATTATGTTCTATGTTTATGTCTATGAATATGTCTATGTTTTCTATCTAGGCCTTCAATCTTTAAACCCCTCAAATTTTAGGTTTAAGGGTACGGAACCCTCGGTTTTAATGCGAGTGTAACTCGCACTTGTCCGATTTTTTTAGTTCTTTAGTAACTAATGTAGATCTTCTTCAGATCTTTATTATTTGATTTGTTTAACAAATTTTTCTCTAAATTAATTCAATTCAATTATCTTACATTATTTTTTAATTAAAAATATTACAAAATTCAACAATTGTTTAGGGGAGTGTAGTCAGGGATGTACATAGTTTTGACTTTTCTCTATAACTTTCCCTGTAGGCCGAATTTTGAGATTTCTCGCATATGGTTCGAACGATCTACTAAAATGTAATGTGTTTGCTGAACATTGTAAAAATATTTGACCAAAAGTTTCGGAGTTCTAGTGAATTAAAAGAAAGTAAAAATAGTAGTCAGGGCATAGACATAGACATTCTTTTACTATAATAACCCCGGGAATGCTTAATCGATGCAGTCTAAACCTTATACGACGGGCTAAGGCCTGCATTCAGGTGCAAGGTGGTAATTTTGAAGCTGTCTTACCAAGACAATTGAGATGAAGGTGAACGTATACAATATCGGGTTATTTATTATTATTTTTAACTGTTATCAACCTAAAATTTGTAAAGTAAATAATTTTTAAATAAATACGCAAAATTTACGGTTTGTATTTATTAAAAATGCAATTAATAAAATATAAAAATAATGTTAAAAATAATATAAAAAAGCTTTAAAAATTAAATCTATCCTTTGACAATAAATTGCCTTTTCTATTAATACCTTCTTCAAGTATAAACCGTTACTATGGTAACTGTAAATAGTCACATATAACAAAAAATTTAACCAAGTTTTGACAGTTTTAAAAAATTCATCATGAATAGGAAAAGGGATTGGGAGTGTATAAAATACATAAACCCATGTCAAAAACATTTCGATAAAATATCGTATATTGTACCCTTAAAGGATATTCAATTAGATGGATTTGAATTTAATAAAAATAAAAAATACCTGGCAAAATGTTTTGGTAACAAAAAAATGGTGCTATGCACTCGTAGCCTTTGTAGAACGAGAAAGTAAGTATTTTAATAATAATTAAATTTTTTAAATATTTATTGATTTTCTGCAAATAAATATTAATATGTTAAGAACAATATTTTTAATTTCTAAATTGTTTAAATAATTAACTTATCAAAAAAGTTAAATAAAATTTCAGAACTTTGCGAAAAGTTTTAATTAAAATTTTCATTATTTTAATTTTAAAATACTTTAAATTTTCGAAAACTTTTAATTTTAAAAATGTGTAGGTAAATTTAAAAAAAAGACTTGGGGAAATTGAAAATTAAATTTAATTAATACCACCAAGAGATAAATTTTACAAAAATTGTAAACGTAATAAATATGTAGGTACAAAGGCGAAGGCCATAGCACTAAAATATAAATCGAGATTAAGGTATCCACCTTTAACGGAAGTCATTTCTGATGATGGATCAAAGACTGATGAAGAGGATGATGAGGAACATGTAACTATTAATCTTTCATTATGATTTTTTTACACAAGACTATTGTTTGTTCGTCATATAAAGTTTAAAATTTTTTAATTATTTATAGAAATAAAATTTGTAAAAAATAAAAAAATTTCTTTTATTTTTTATAAAAAAATATGGGTTTAGATTCTAAATAGTGCAAAAAAAATTTACATATCTAACTGTAATATTTTTGATTGATTCGAATAGCATCTTTTTAGAGTTTAATTTCTTAAAAAATTTTCTATACATTTTTTATAATACCGAATAATCAATAGTATAAATTTTAAAAATGTTCATTTAAACAATGTTTTTAAATGATTAGTTTACCCGTTGTTTTATAAAACTTATTCAAATTTATTTAGCGCTTTTCATAATAATTTCAATTGAAAAATATAATGAAAAATTCTACAATTCTATTTACAAATACTAATTATCGTCCTGCAGTCTACAAACATCAAAGTTTAAAAAAATCACTCAAACATAACTTTTAATAATATACTTTTTGTTGAATTTTTATTCAGGTTAGGTGTACTATCAACAAGAAATAAAAGATACTCGTACAATTAACTTAAGTTTATTTGAAATATTGGAAATATATATATATAAGAGTGTGAAGACCGATATAAGTTTACCCTTCGAAGGTTTCGCTTATACTACCTAAGTTTTCCGAAAAAGGTCTCATTGCCCGGGCCCAGGTACACACTTTTACAATGTTGAAGTGAGAGTAGCTTGAGTGTTGTTCAGTTTAACAATTTACCAAGATAATAAGATTTTCCAGTTTTTGAAAAAAAACAAAAACAAGAAGAGAAATTATTAAAACTAAATGAAAAGTTTAATCCACCAAAACCAAGGTGATGATGATGACTACAATTTTAAAGAAGATGAAGAAGCTGATGCGAAAATGATTAGACAATTTTTAAGTCAACCTAAAAGAAAAAAAATGATATTAATGATGATGGTCCAAGTAAAGAAAATAATGTTGATAAATGTGAATACCATGACGACGATAACAACAATATTAATTAAGATTATGATGATGATACTGATTCTGTTGCTCGTGATGATTAATTCGTTGATGACTAAATGACGATTTCCATTATACATTTGTACCTGAGAATATAAAAAAAAATATTTTCAAAAAAGATAAATAATAATTTTATTAATACTATTTATATTTTCAGTTAATTTTTGAAGTTGTGTTATTTCTATAGTGCTATTTTGCCTATCATTGTCAAATACAAAAATATGTTCTAATTAATAAAAATAATTTTGTAAGTTTCGAAATTATTACATTTGAGTATTATTGTAAAAGTCTTCAAGAAATCCTTAAATAACTGTTTTTTTGAAAATAAAACTGTGAATTTAATTAACTCTTTAAAGCCTGATTATGAAACTTGAGTATCTGGGATTGAAGGGTTAAATAAACCTTCCTACATTTAATTTAATTAAATAATCTTTCAATCATTTTTTTGATATTTTTATAAATTTAATTTTCATTATTTACATTCTGCTAAAAATGTTTTCAGTATTATCAAATTTCATGAAATCAAGAAAATTATTTTTTTCAAAGCTTGAATTCAAATGCAAACAAACTTCTTGTAAATTTTCAATTTCCAACCTCCTTTTCTAGTTTTAATAATTTTTATAACTTTTCTTTATTAATTTCTCTCTAGTTATTTTTTATAAATGAGAAATTAACATTATTTAAGTATTTAAATGAACAATATAATCGAATATTTAGTTTCTTAAAAAATCCCTTTACCTATATATGGGGTAAAATTCCTGTAGCGAACTAAATGAAAAAAAAAGTTTATCGGATCGGGCTGTAACTTGCACATAGTTTAGCCCTAGGGTTAAGTAATTTAACCACGAAGTATTGTTATGTTTTTTCAAAAACCGTCGAAGAGGGAGGGGGTTGAATTTTTTTGAAAAATTTAAACAGTGAATATTTGAAGACTTGTAACTTTTAAACAAAAAAAATTTTGACACATATGTTTTGCAAATTTTTTTGTGCTCTTGCGATTACTGAAAGACAAATTTAAAAAAATACAAAATTTCAAATTTTCATTTTTTATTAACATTAATTAATTAATTAGTTAATATTTCAAAAATAAAAAAGGACATCTCAATATTTTTAGTGGTGAAAATACACATTTTTAGTTTTCCAAAAAAAATAAATAAATAAAATAAAAAGAACCAAATTTAAAAAAAATTCGAAAAAATGTTTAATTTATAAAAAAAGGGCCAAATTTAAATTTTTAAAAAAAAGTTTTGCACCATTTGAAAGTGCAGGAAAAAACCTTTCCAAAACATACAGGACAAATTTTTCTTCTCCTTTCTGTTTAAAAGTTACAAGTTTTCAAAAATTCACTGTTTAAATTTTTTAAAAAAATTCAACCCCCTCCCTCTTCGACGGCTTTTGAAAAAACCTAACAATACTTCGTGGTTAAATTACTCAACCCTAGGGCTAAACTATGTGCAAGTTACAGCCCGATCCGATAAACTTTTTTTTCACTTAGTTCGCTACAAGAACTTTACCCCATATATAAAATCAGACTTTTGTCTGTACATTGCTTAGAATTCAAAATTTTTTCTATAGTTTTTTTTCTTATACACTAAAAAATCCGAAAATTACATAGGAAAAAAAATGTCTGTATGTATGTATGTTTGTGTGTCTGTCCCCAAAATTTTGATCGCGCATCCCGCGCAATCGGTTCCGTCGATTTACCTGAAACTTAGCAGCATTTTAGGTGTTGGTCCAACTTAAAATACTAAATTTAAAGAATACGTTTTTTTTTGAAAAATACTAAAAATAAAAAATTTTTCATTTTTTGATAGATAGTTACTAAAGTTTATATACCTATTTTTTCAGTGCCATTGTGCCGCATTTTAACATATTTTTGACGTTATTACTGGTAGATCCAAAGATTTAAAAAAATTTAATTTTCAAATTTCACGAACATCTGAAATTAATATTTTATGGATTGTCATTTAAATTTTCATAGAATTAACGTATATAATCCTTGATTCACAATTATTTATTAGAATTATAAAATTTATTACATACGAAAATAAAAATTTGCAATGAAAATTTTTAAAAACTTTTTTATGTTATTTATTTTTATTATTGCTCATTTTAATTACTCCTTTTTTGTAATAAAAAATGAAAATATTTTATTAATGTATGTAGATATGTATTATAAAATACCAAAAAAATAATATTAAATTAAAATAATAAATAATATTACATAATAATATTGGCACCAATACCTGACAATTCAAATTTTCCATAATTTAGACGAACTCTGTCCCATTAGTTGGTCATTATTGGTCGATTGACGGCTAAAATGTTGAATTTATTTTGACAAGTTATTTTTATTTTTTGGACGACTATAAAGTTATTTAAATCTACAAAAGTATGAAAACTAAAATTTTTTCCTGTTTATTTTATAAAAGCTAACAAAAGTCTAAATGTTAATTATAACATATTATTATATATATTATAACATTTGATTATGAATTATTACATATATTATTAATATTATTAATTATAACCTTTTAAATAATTTGAATTGTATGACAAAAAACGATTTTAATAAGCCCAAGAACGTTTAAAAATATTAATTTTTGACAGAGAAACAAAAAAAATAGTAAAAACATTGAAAATTGGGTTTTTCTTACAATTAGATATCTAATTGAAAAATTAACATATTCTCTTTGTCAAGGTGTCATTTCTTTAGACTTTTTTTTGCTTTTATGAAATTAAAAGGAAAAATTTTTAGTTTTAATATTTTTGAAGATTTAAACTGTTTTACAGTCATCGAAAAAGCAGAGGTCGCACAATTTCTGACAGTAGTGTAAAAGTGATCTTGACACCTAACAGACATTTTGACAATTCCTGGTTTTCCATCTTTTTTAATTCAGCTTAATTTCCTTGTGGAAATTAACCAAAATTGACCTAGAAACCAGAAAATACTTAGGTCCTTTTTTTGATAAGAAATAAAAATTTTTCGGAAAATTTTCCCAGGAGTCTCCAGGGAACTTTTTCACGTGGGGTAAAGAAATGTTTTATAATAAAATTCGAACTCATACGAATATTAACCAAATAACAGTTGACGTAACAATTCTGAATTGTAAATATGGATCATACAGACTGGTTCGTTACCGCGACAATGAAAAACTGTAAGGTCGCCATTTTTGTTTAAACTATTCCGATTTGCTATTTCTGTATTACAATTTTTTTACCACGACAGTATTAATATAATACTGATTTGACAAAGTGTAATATTACATAACCGGAAAATGTCGTTTGAAACGCAAACTCTCTCATTAACATTTCTTCTTGAATATCCATATTGAAAAATAACTCCGTGTATAGGAGTGCACCCTTTTGTGCACCTAGGAAATGCCGTTGGATGCGCCTACTAGCTTCAGGTAGCTAAAAGTAATAGATTCATGTTCAGCGATTCAAGTAACAATATTTAGATAAATCGGAGTAGTTTTTTAAAAAATCACCTTTCATATTAGATTCACCATTTATCATTTTTAAAAACTAACCAATGAATATTTTTTTAATTAGCCGCTACATTGGATGCGCCATTTTGAATTTTAAAAAATCGTCATCAGATTCGTAATCAGCAACCCCAAAAACTCCTGAGTAAACATTTTCAAGCAAATCCAATGTAGTTTTTAAAAAAGTCCCCCATATTTTGGATGCGCCATTTTGAATTTTGAAAAACTGACGTCAGATTCGTAATCAGCAATCCCTTACCTGATTGTTTATATCTAAACCAATTTTGGAGAGAGAGGGCCTTATATATATATATATATATATATATATATATATATATATGTATATATATATATATATATATATATATTTCAAATTATATATATATATATATATATAATTTGAAATTTAAAGTTGTAAAAATTAATAATGGGTTGCAATTATTAGAACGCCATTGTTGTTGTGCAACAAACTTCATTTTGATTGAAAATGAAAATAAAGATTAAAACAAAAAACAATCTTGACATTAAATGCGAAATAAGGGAATGTGTTTATTTGTTTACCCACGTGTTTATTTAAAATTTCAATTTACGATTATATAAATATGTTGAAATTATTATTATTGAAATACTAATTATAAAATAAAAAGTAAAATTAGAGATAATAAAGCATAAGTAAAATTTAAAGAGATTTTTTGCTGTACTGTTAAACTCAAAGGTAAGTGAAAAACAATTAAATAGAATAAACATAGTATACGCAGGTTAAGTACGGTTTACTTCATAATATTTTATAGGAAAAAGATAGTAACATTTGTTCTTGAATGAATTGAAATTTAATTTATGAGAATTAAAAGAAAGTAATAGTTCAGCAGTGGGATTACTATTAGCGCTAGTCGCTATGTAGCGCTTTTTGTTATTTAGAATTGAAAACTTACATATTTTTAGTGAAATTTGTTCCAAATCATGACCAAAATAAAATACCGTTGACAGTTTCTTTAAAACTTAAACTACAAGATGGTAATTTAGAAGACAATATAAACATAACCCCTCTAGATAAGGACATTGACATAGAATTCATGTCAATTTCCTAAAATATTTTATCTACGTAGCAAACAAATACAACATGAAGGTGGAATCAATTCTCTAACTTCATGTTTGCCAACTGTTAGTTTCAAATAAAATAATTAACTATAGTGACGAAATAAATTATACTTTAATTTAATTTAAAAATAATTTATAAAGGAAATAAATTTTTTTAATTTAATTTAATAAATAAAAATTAAGAAAATTAATCTTATTGCAAGAATTAAAAATAATAATTGCATGAGGTTTTAAATTAGGATATTCTTTACAAGCCTAAATTTAAAAATTGATAAATTTTTTAATTAAATTGATTTAAATTTTCATTTCTTGAAAAACTCTTTAAGTTACACAAAATGCCCTATACATTTTTTTAGTGAAACCTTGCGTAAGAACAAAAATTCTATTTCCGAGGTTATATCTTCAAAATTTTTTTAATTAATTTTTTTTTCCCATTTTAGACAATGTCTAATAGAAACTTTAAATCCTATGAAAAAGATAATAAATATAAATGCAATAAATATTTAATTATTAATATAAAAAAGAAAAGTAAATAGTTTATTATTATTGGATAAAGTTGAATTATTTTCTTGATTTTTTGTAAGAATAGAAATTTGTAAAATAAATGTTTTCTTTATTTCTTTATTATTATTATGTTTTATTTGTTTATAATTATTAATTATAAAAAAATGTAAGGTTAAAATTTAGAAATAAAAGTGTTAATATAATAATATTAATAATTATCGTTGCCTCAAATTGCTTTTTTTATAACTTTTGAGATTTGAAGTGTTACACTTGAAAAATTTGTCAGGCTTTTAGATATTTCTTTTAATTGCTTCATTTCTTCATCGTAGAAAATCCTTATGAATTTGACACATTCTTGATTCTAAAAAAATTGTTAAATTATAAAATAAAGCAAATATGAAAAAAAGAAATACACAGAAAAACAATTGTACCAACCTAAATCCATCAAAATGATAGAATTTTTTTTAGTCACCCGATAGCAAGAAAATTTTTTAAAGTGAATGTAGCTTTGAATCGCTACGTAGCGAAATCTTCGTAGCGCTATCGCTATTTGTAATCCCACTCCAGGGACATAATTAATTATTAAAAATAATTATTTTATAATAAACTAGCTTTCGGACCCGCTTTCGGCGAGTTCTGAAATATAGTGCTGCGCCATCGAAAGTATTTTGTATCAACAGTATTTTTTAACAAAACCTTTTAGATAGTCAAATTTTTTAAAAATTTTAATTCAATAAAAAATTTCAAACATAAATATACTGAAAAACTAATATTATTTCTTTGATATATTTTATTGTAAATCTATAATTTTAACATTGCTCAAAATTTAAAATTTCATAGCTCTCGGGCACCAACAGTACTGTCAAATTTTCATATTATCATTTTCACACTATTAGTTCCGGATATGAAATATTAAATGTAATGATTTAGATTGGTATTTAGCCAATTTTATTAAAATTTTAAGTTTTTAAAAACTTTTCAAGGACATTGTTTCCAAGATGCACCACGTGGAAGTAACCACTGAAGTACGAAAATCTACACGGCCCAATACTGGCCCAGTATTGTCAAAGTTTAAAAAATTATAATTGTTAATTAATTAACTAAATAAATTATTATACATTTAGAATATTTGTAGGAAATTGAAAGTAGACACAGGGATTTAGAGGAGTATTAATTTAATTTATTACATTTAGAGAAAACAATTATTACAATGTGTATCAAAACGACGTGAAAACGTGACTGACTGTTCGCACACACACATTCCAACATTCCGACTCATCGCATGCGCAAAAATTACAGGTCTAAATCAATTAAACGGAAGGCCCCGAATATTTAAGTACACTCTAAATTAAAATCCCACAATCGGCCACCCTGCAAATCATTCGACCCGGATGATTATTTCGCAAAAATCCACGGTTTCATGAACTCAGCGCATGTACTAGTATTCGTTGGTCCATCTCCTGGTATAATTAGCTTAACATCAACGTATCATTGTATTTTACTTATTCGATCTGATAAGGCCCTAAAAATTTCGCTCGAAGTTTCCTACCCGGACTAATCTGTGTTCGCTTAATTGCCACAATGTCGTTCAACTTGTATTTATTCGGTGCGCGACGTCGAAGATTGTAGGTTTTGCGGTTCTCTTCTTCAGTTTTCAAAATTTGCTGCTTGGCTTTTTCTCGAAGTTCATCACGATCGTTAATAAATTGAGATTTAAATGATTCTTCAAGCATTTCTGTCAGCAACAAGTCTTCTTTGGTCCTCATCTTTACTCCTATTAACAATTCGATCGGAGTGGTGTTGATGCTTCTCTGATAAGTGGAATTCAAGGTTTGTTGCAATCGATTCACATGCAAATACCATTTTGTCGGATCATTAATCGATAATTTCGTCAGGACTGGAATGATTGTTCTATTGATCCTTTCGATTTGACCATTCGCCATTGGAAGTCCCGTGGTGATCGTTGAGTGCTTGATGCCCTCTTCTTCACAATACTGAAGATGCGATGTGAATGCGGTCTCTTTGTCCGTAATTATTTGACAAGGATTTCCAAACGTGTTTTTCTGTAAATCCAACTTCGAAATAACTTCTCGCGTGGTCGTGGATTTGGTAGGATATAACCAAACAAATTTCTCGTAGGAATCAATCACGGCGAAGATGTGATTGTATTTTTTACTCGTAGATTCAAGTGGACCCAGGTAATCAGCGTGATAAGTGTGTAGAGGAATATCTGGTTTCGTCAGCGGATGAAGAAATCCTTCTTGCTTTCCCTGCTTTTTATT